TTGGTTGATTCTTTGATGTGATTATATGTTGGCAAGACTTGAAAATGATAAAAACAATTTTTTTCTTTGTAGTAGATATAACCCAGAGTCAAATAACTAACCATGCATTAATTATAGGACATCCATTTGAACCCCTTATGAGCCAAAAATAATATTGTTTCTTAAATACAACCCTTAAACCTAAACACTATTTATCTACCTTCTTATATTTGAGAAAGGAAATGAGTATGAATGTCGTTATTTTTCTTATTGTTGGGTATTGTTATTGTTGTCCTACAAGTATTATTGGGGTGTTATTGTTAAAAAATAAAAAGGTGTAAAGAAAAAGGAAAAACAAAGCTTAAAAATTGGCAAAGCCAAAAAGAATACATGCAAAAGCATGAGAAAAATAATAATAGAAAAGTAGTTCAAGGAGGGAATAATAACTTGTGAGATCATTAACTCACTATCATTGTGTTATGGACAAAAGCATGAAGTTTGAAACCTGACTTGAGGAATTGTTAATCAAGAATCATTCATATGAGTTGAATTTCTCAAATATTTTTGTATATCCCAGAAAAACCAATAATTCTTTCTTAGCCCAACCCCATTACAAGCCTCAAAAGACTTTTTGATTTAAGTCTTGCTTAACAAATATTGATTGCTTGAAGATGATTATCAATATTGGATTGTCTAAATGAAGTGATTGAATGAGATAAACACTTACCTGTGAGAATTAGAGATGATTATATATAACTATATTTGAGAGATCATGCTTCTCTGAGGATAGTTGAGAACTAATTATTCTTTGTTGGTTTTTGTAACTTGAATGTTTATATGTTCTATTTTCATTTGGAATTGTGAGCATCACCTTTGAAAATTTTTATGTTACAGTTCTAGAAGAGAAAGAGATAATAGGTGATGGTTTTGTTTTGGAAAAATTACTTTGCTTGGGACAAGCAAGATTCTAGGTTGGAGGAAGTTGTTAAGTGGTAAAAAGTTGATATAATTATGCCTTGAATTATTATGAAACCACTTAACTTATGTTAATTCTAATATATTTTTCTCCCAATATAGGATGAATTCGAGAATCCTTGATACAAGAGTAAGGAGCATAATTGTCAGCATAATTAGAGAAAAATTGAAAGAAAGTAGAACGCTTAAGCGAATGAATGATGCGAGGTCCGACCCAAATTCTCTTATAAAAAGATAAGATGTGTTTTGAGAAGAAAAGTAGTCTTGGAGAGGAGGAGGCACGACTACTGTTAGGGTTTTGTCCAATCTTCATCAATTCTTCACTTCTTCATCAATTAGAGCATTGTAATGGCCAACATGAGTGACTAATTTCATTCCCTTAGGATTTGGTGCACTTCATTTTAACTCTTTTGTATCATGGTGACATTTTGAGATATTTATCTATGCTTTGATGTTGTTATTCTTATCCTTATGCTTTGGAATGATTTATTCTTGATTGTTTAAGGTATGATTGGAAAATATATCTTGAACCCTAGATCACGGTAAGAATATTTGTTACGTTAATTGTCAGGAATGGAATGAATGTATCAATTGCTTAACACCCTAACCCTATAGCTGGAAAATCTCTTAATTGTGTGAGGAATCAACATTTATTAAGTTTTCTTATGAATTTCATGTGTGAGGAATCAATATGGATGATTTGAGTAGGTGGCATCAACATTGTTAGGTTAATTGACGTTCTTAATTGACATAGTCATTACAAAAGAGGGATAAGGAAGGAAGTCAATCCTAAGTGCCTTTAATTGATATTTTCTCAATAATTTACAGTTCTTTGTCATTTAATTTCAATTCAAATCTTATTTGTAAAACCCAATCTGTTTAATATACTTAGTAAGCATAATTGAGAATTTTCATTGAAATTGTTCCTCGTGTGATCGACTTTTATTTAATCGAAATACTATACTGCGATTGATAATTTTGGTACGCATGCCAATAATTCAACAAACATCACTTAAGGTTAGAGTCTTCCTATATGTGAACTTTAGAAGAACTTTTCCTTTTACTAAAACAAGAGTTGTCTTGGAATCACCAAGATAAACATGTTCTTCTCCATCCCATACTAGTGTAGGAGGAAAACACACTTCTATTTGTACAAATGTGTTTGGACCAGAGTCTACCACTCATTTGTTTATATTGGTCAAGACCGCAATAATTATATCTTCCCATTCGACTATATTTGACTTAAGAGGATTGTTGTTCCTGACTCTATGTCTGCACTGAGGTGTATTATGACATGACTATCCACAAACAAAACAAGTTCTTTTTTCGTTGAAAGTGGGGTTTAATCCATTGGGACAAGAATTTTAAAATTTATTTCTTCTTTTGTGATCAGGTTTTTCTCGTACCTCGTGAAGCTGGTTAGTCTTCTACCATGTTTTCTTTAGTAGATAATGTCTTAGTCCTTACAATAACACAATCCCTTTTGTTGGTATCTTCAATAATAATGTGTGTGATAAGGTCTAGTAGTGACATTTGTTTGTATCTATGCTTCAGTTGTGATTTGTGGTTAATCCAGGGTTGCGAAAGTTTTTTTATCAGAAGTTTTTAAACGAACTCATCAGGTTATACTATGTTTATGCTTTAATATCTTCAAGTTGTTTGTGATACTCGTTGATTTCGATCTTAATGTCCTTATCTTTAATCATCTTCCAATGATAATAGTTTCCTATGATGAATCTTTGTCTAACAACATCTTCGACAGTGTATTTGAGAATTAACAAATCCATAATATCTTTGGCTTCCTTATAGGAGTAGTACACATCAAACAAATCATTAGCAATGTATTAAACAAAGTGTATCGACATACCTTTTGCACATGAATTCATTCTTCATTTTGTTTTGCAAGAGTACTAGAGTCGGATTTGGTAGTTGTAATAGAGGAAGCAACGCCATACATGTTTAGTAGAGTAAACAAACATTCCTGCCAGTGTCAGAAGTTTTGTCCAGAGAAAACTTTGATTTTTGAAATATTTAGAAAAGGTTCACAAAACTAGTTTGAGCTTTGGAAACACAGTTTGACTTCTGCAATGTAGAGTTGTTATCGTTGTTCATGATGTTAGCCCTAAGTCCTTGAGATTATTGTGAAAGTAAACAAAAACACAAACAAAATTTTATTCTTGAAACGTGTATAATTATTATCCTTAAATACTTATCTATGGTGTGTTGTGTAAGTCCCAAGATACAATAAAAACTTATTCAGTATATTCGAGAAATTCAAAACTAGCAAGAAATAAATTTAAAAAATTGAGAACCCAAAATCTAAGAAAAGTGAATGGAAGAAAAGAGAAGATGAGAAATAATGTAGTGTATTTAGGAAGAAGATGAGAAATTTAGGAGGAAGAGTGACATATTTATATGTGAGATAGACACACAGGGGAACTCACTCTTCCATAACTTGGGAACGCACATCTTTCTTGAATCAAGGAACAACCAAAACAAAAAGGTTATAGATTGAAGAAGAAACCATCTGAAATTAAAGAAACATGCCGAAAATGGAGAAATAGTTGAAGCATAATACTCAAACCTATTTGTTTTCTCTTAATATAAATAAATATGAGACATTGAGATAAGTATTTTAAAAAAAATTATATGAAATATATAAAACTAATTATTGAGTTTGAAAAGCAAATTATATTGACAGTCGGATGCAATCCGACATGAGAAATTATTTTCATCTTTAAATTCCCTATGAGGTTGTGATAGAACAACAAGCTACGAGAAACCAAAACTTTGAGAGTAAAAATCATATTCTTTCAAAAACTTAGCATCAATATAATTTTTTGTGCTTGTTTTCCATGCGCCTCTATTCACAACCCCTTTACTTAGGATTCCATACCTCACTAATTCCCTTTTGTTTGTAAGAACTTCAACAAATTCAAAGCGTTGAATGGTATAAACAAATCCAACAAAAGAGTTAACCCATACATTGTTGTATACCTTCCAAAAATCTCCAACATTAACTCTATGTAATCTGTTGTACAAGGATTCCAGTAAATTTTTTATTTTGTCCCTGTAATTAACTTCTTACTGGTACGAATGGTTACACTCTTGTTATGACTTGGACAATTCTTATTTAAATTTTACCTAGTTGTGTGTTTTTTTTTTTTTCCTTTTTTTATCTTCCTTTAATATAATTAAATTAATATAATCATTTTTTTAAAATAGATGGAGAAGTTTTGATGTCTAAGTGATTAAAATTTTAAAAATTCTTTCAATATCCTCAATTTAATTATCTAATAAATCAAAGCGTGACCAAAACAGACGATCCGTTACAAGTCATTTCAATCCAACTTTTTTCTTTTTTGACACCCAATGATTATTTTATATTAGAATTAGTGATTTTAGTTATTAGTTTACTTAATTAATTTAAAGAGTAAAACATTTTTTAAAGCCATTAATTTATGTTACTTATATGAATTTTGAGAAGACTTGAGACCTCAAAAAAATTAGGCGAACCTAAGAATAACTGAGTCATCCCTCTCCATATTATAACTACCATATGAAAATAAATATTACAACATTGACACTAGTGAAAAATATCTTTTGACAATATTTTATTTATATCTATTAAAGGTAATTTGATATTTGAGAATACATGCATTATAATGTTCTCTCTTTTTTTGCATTAAGTTTGTTTTGTGAAGGTTTTTACACCATTAAAAAATCTACGATTGTTACAGCACTTTATTATTCAACAAAAGAATAATATCACTATGGATGATGGTGCCATCGAGATAGTGGCACAAGTAAAGACTAAAGTGCCGCACAAAAAAACAACGTATGACACACTTCCCACACTTTCATGCTTGTCTTGCATGGCAAAAAAACACGTCTACGAAGCAAGCACAAGAACAAAACGTCGTTCAGATAACAACTCCTTCACGACAATGCACTCTTCCATCGTCATAACCTCTTTTTCTCTCTCTATATATCCAACTCCCTCGCACAAAAGATGTAAGTAAGTAAGGTAAGAGAAGAAAAATAAAATGTCTGCAACATTGAATTCCGAAGCCAGCGTAGTGGAAGAGTGTCGTGGCGTTCTTCATGTTTATAGTGACGGTTCCATAGTACGCTCTTCGGGCTCAAGCTTCAACTTGGATGTAAACGACGACGGCACCGTTTCGTGGAAAGATGTCGTTTTTAACCCTGTCCATGATCTCCAGCTTCGGCTCTACAAGCCAGCCGGCTCATCCGGCGCCAAGCTTCCAATTTTGTTCTACTTTCACGGTGGCGGCTTTTGCATCGGCTCACGCACTTGGCCTAATTGTCAAAACTATTGCTTCCAGCTTGTTTCTCGGCTTCGAGTCATAGTGGTGGCTCCAGATTACCGGCTTGCTCCGGAGAACCGGCTCCCTGATGCGATTGAGGATGGCTTCACGGCTGTTAAGTGGCTTCAAGATCAAGCCGTGAGTAATGAGCCGGACCCATGGTTGAGCCACGAGGCTGATTTTAGCCGGGTGTTCATTTCGGGTGACTCGGCTGGAGGAAACATAGCTCATCATTTGGCGGTTCGGCTTGGATTCGGGTCATCGAAGTTAGAGCCGGTTCGGGTCAGGGGTTATGTTCTATTGGCCCCTTTCTTTGGTGGAACTATCCGAACCAAGTCCGAAGCTGAAGGAGCAAAAGATGCTTTTCTCAATTTAGAACTTATTGATAGGTTGGTAAATTTGATTATTTATGTTATAATAGTTTGAATTATTAAGGTACGTAAGTTAGCCAGCGAACCTAAAAATAGTGTGAATTTTGGTGTTGACAGAGCAAATTTGTTTTGTTATATTGTGGGCAAGTAGTGAAAGGTGTATGAACGTGTTGCTAACGATTGAACAGGTTTTGGAGGCTTTCTATACCCATTGGAGACACTACAGATCACCCTATTGTGAATCCATTTGGGCCCAATAGTGAGAGTCTTGAAGGAATAAATCTGGACCCAATTCTAGTGGTGGGTGGAGGATGTGATTTGCTTAAAGACAGGGCAGAGGATTATGCAAGGAGGCTTAAGGAGTGGGGTAAAGATATAGAGTATGTGGAATTTGAAGGACAACAACATGGTTTCTTCACCATTCATCCCAACTCACAACCATCCAACACCTTGATGCTGCTCATCAAACAATTCATAGAGAAGCATTTGGGGAATGTTTGAACTGCTTCAAACCCTACTTCAACAACATCCTTGTTTATTGTATTGTAGTACCTTTTCTTATCTTTCTTTTTAACTCCAACATGGGACAAAAATTAAATTCCAAGGATCCCAAAAGTTGTGCTACATTGCAATTGTAATCAAACTTTCCCCTTCTACGTTAATGTCTACGTTTGGCCCAGATGAAAATAAGACGAAACATAATGAGACAAAATGATTTCAAATAGCATGAAATAAAAATATCATTTTGTTTTTTAAAAAAATGCTACCTTTAACACAAAACATTCAATAACAGAATAAACTAGAAAATTTACACACTCACATCTCCCTCTAATTTGAAAATAAACATTAGAAAATTGAAAACGCCAATTAATATAAGAAATAAAAAGTCAAAACCACTATATTTAAAGAATAAACGGTGTCGTTCTTAAATGATTGTAATGTAAACCATCTAGAAAATGAAAAAGTATAACGCCAAAAAAACAGCCTATAGAAGCCATCCACGTGTACACTCTTCATCTTGGATACCAAACACGTCCTTCTGTAAGGCAAGCACGATAACAATTCCTTCACAACTCTATCACCAAACGCATTCATCCACATCCTTTTCTCTCTATATTCTTGCAAAATTTTTAAGAAAACAAAAATGTCTACAACGTCGGATTCCGAAGCCACTGTAGTGGAAGAGTGTCGTGGAGTTCTTCACGTTTACAGCGACGGTTCCATAGTACGCTCTTCGCGCTCAAGTTTTAACGTCCCTGTAAACGACGACGGCACCGTTTTGTGGAAAGACGTAGTTTTCGACCCTTCCCATCATCTTCAGCTTCGCCTCTACAAGCCAGCCGACTCAGCCGGCTCCAGGCTTCCCGTCTTTTACTTCTTCCACGGCGGCGGCTTCTGCATCGGCTCCCGCACTTGGCCCAACTGGCATAACTACTGTTTCCGGCTCGCTTCCCAGCTTCGAGCCGTCGTCGTTGCGCCGGACTACCGGCTCGCTCCCGAGAACCGGCTCCCCGATGCAATTGAGGACGGCTTCACGGCTGTTAAGTGGCTCCAGGCTCAAGCCGTGGGTAACGAGCCGGATCCTTGGTTGAGCCACGTGGCTGATTTCAGCCGCGTGTTTATTTCGGGTGACTCAGCTGGAGGGAACATGGCACACCATTTGGCGGCTCGGCTAGGGTTTGGGTCGCCGGAGCTTGCGCCGGTTCGGGTCAGGGGTTATATTCTATTAGGCCCCTTCTTTTGTGGGACTATCCGAACCATATCAGAGGCTGAAGGACCGAAAGATGCTTTTCTCAATTTAGAACTTATTGATAGGTTGGTATAACAAGTAAAATCGACTTAATTAGTTTTCTTAAATATTTAAAAAAAAATAAAAAAATCATTCTATTGTGTTGGTTCCGTATTGAGCAGGTATTGGAGGCTTTGCTTACCTGTTGGGGAAACTACTGATAACCCTCTTGTGAATCCATTTGGGCCACAGAGCAAGAGCCTTAAAGGAGCTAAAATAGAGCCAATTCTTGTGGTGGCTGCTGGAAGTGATTTGCTTAAAGACAGGACAGAGGATTATGCCAGGAGGCTCAAGGAGTGGGGTAAAGATGTTGAGTATGCAGAGTTTGAAGGACAGCAACATGGTTTCTTCTCTAATGATCCCAACTCTGAAGCATCAAACAAGTTGATGCTGCTCCTCAAACAATTCATACACAACCATATCCCCAAAGATTGAACAGCATTAAACAAATGTACCTACATTGTCATATGTCTTTCAAGATACTTTAACTTTTAATGCATATTTTTGTATTTTCAGTATTCATTTTACTACAACAAATCTATTTGGACGACTTTTATAAATTCTTATAAAAGAGAAAATAAAAGTTAAATTAATATTTTATAAGTTAAAATTAACTCATGTGTATAAAATATATGAGAGTTTTTATTAATTAGTTCATATATAAATGCTATTTTTGTTAAAAGGTTATGATTCCTTTGGCGTGACTATAATGCATTTATTATTAGCATTTTGTCATTTTTATCAAGTATTTGTGCAATGATCATGAGGTATTTTTTCCTCCTTGTTTCTTCGTAAGAGAATGAGTGAAAGCTGTGATTTGTATGCGACTGAAAGGGTCATGTGAGGAACCTTAGAATAAAGGCGATGTGCAGATGAAAGCTTCTGAAAATATCCTATCCCCTACTTTTTTGCACACCTTCTACTTCCCTTTATTTTTTATCTTCAACATTTTTCACACATTCATCATGTGAATAGCCTATTATATTCTTTTTATCTCTTTTCTACCTAATATCGAATTTTAAGATTCTTTAAATATTTAAAGATCCTCTTTATAATAATTAGCTGCTTAATTTTAAATTCACATATATAAACAATACAAATAATTAACATTAATTATAATATAATAATTGTAAGATATATTAAATTTTCATAGTTTATCTGTAGATAGATGCCTTGTAGAGTGGTGGAGGAAAGGAGGGTCTCAAGAGTGTCTCCTACAAATTTTTAATCTTTTTAATTAATATTAAAATTTATAAATCTTATTTTATTAATTAAAAAATAACAATATTTTATTTTGACCCTCATGAAATAAAATATCGGTGTTTTCTCGGTGATTCTAGTTTTATGGACAACTTATGTCTTTAGATTAGTCACAGTAATAGTACTGTACATCAAATAATTTCATAATTTCTTTAATATATTTTTTTTTATATATAAATATTCTTTGGATACTTTTTGAGTTATTTTACATCAAATCATTTCATAATTTCTTTAATATATTCTTTTCATATATAAATATTCTTTTATACTTTGAGTTACTTCCATATTCAATAAATAGTTTATTTTTTCAACATTTGTTATATCACTCTCTCCGTATAAATTTCTTATATTCGTAAACATTATTTTGTCATTTTCATTGTAGATTATATAATCTATATAGACTCACTTTAAAAAAAATGTTCACAAAAATATTCAAGATCTACGGCTTCTTTAAAAATGATGAAAGTACGTAGTTTTCCATTTATGACATATTGTCTTCTAATCCTCCATTGAGTATGATTTGGTGTATTGTTAGTTGCATGGATTTTTGTTTCAATAAAATGTGTCAGAAATACTACTTTCTTTAACATTCTCCTGTAAATCAACATTGTAGATATCATCTTCATGTTCCGCGACAATCTTTTATTTTATTGCTTCTTTGTTTCTCTATTTCCATGTATAAGATTCTACAAACCGCATATCTCTGCTTATAAAAATCCTTCTTGTAGCAGAATCATAAAGTTTGTAGATTTCACTTAATCCCAACTAAATATGCATGATACATTCCATATCCAACTTTTCCTTTGAACACTAGGTCATACAACCAAATATTTTAAGTCTCGTATAAAGGTTTAAGGTTGTCTATGTTAGGTTAACTATAATTTATAATTATAATCAGATTTTAATTTTAATAATCAAATATAAATATAATCTCATACTCATAAATATGTTATAAACTAAATGCAAAAATATACCTGAATTAGCCATAATAATGATATCATTGTAGAACATTATTGATCTTATGATTTTTTTCTCTCTGGATTTTTTCTCTTGATGAGGATAGAAAGAAAAGAACGAAACGGAGACTTATGTTTTGTGTGTGTTTTTCTAGAAGGGGATCATGACCCTTTAAATAACCAGAATTAGGTTAATTACTTAAGTTTTAGTATTTTTAATTTGGTCCCTCATCAAATTAGAAATTACTCTATGGTCTCTATACAATTTTATTTGATGACATATGCTTTTAGCTAAACTTTTTAATTTAGTCAGATCACTTTATTATTTGACTTAATAAATAATGACCATAACCCATTTAAATTATGTATCATATATATACATGACCTAATATTTGCCAACAATCTTCCACTAATCACAAATATATATGTCTTTACAACTTTACAAATGTGTTAGACTTTATGAGTTCAAAATTGTCATTATATTCCTTTAGCATACTTCAAAAGTCTCGTCCATGATCATATAAGGATATAGAACCAAACCAACTTTTCATTGCATCATTGTAACTAAAACCAACAATGATTACTCATCCTGACATAACCAAATGACATGGATTCATCATGAAATGTGTAGCATGAAAAATTACGTGAAGGTGATTTGTACACGTCTATTTTCAACTGGTCCAAACTTTAACTTATCGAGATCGATATAATAACCTTAATGTACAAAGTGTAATGAATGAACAAAAAAACCGCATATCTATAGATAACCAAATATGTCCAAAAAAAAAAAAACAATGTATACATATATTAAATTAAACATAGAACATAAAATATATGAAAATGACTAACTCCCACTAAACCACAAATTCATTGTTAAGTGGTAAAAACCTGATATAATTATATCTTTAATTGTTATTAAACCACTTAACTTATGCTAATTCTAATATATTTTTCTCCCAATATAGGATGAATTCCAGAATACCTTGATACAAGAGTAAGGAAGAAGATTTTCAGTATGAAAGTCGCTCAAACGGGATGTAATATCGCTTGAAAGAATATCAGTTGTTCTTATCTAAAACTTGTCACTTCATCTCATGTGACAAAACACAAAAAACTGGCAATTTTCCAACCAGTGCACATCAAATCTCCCAATTTCTGTACCCAAGTAGAAGGTTTGCCTCTATAGCATTCCTTTGATATTCACTCCTCCCAGTTATGAGAAATATCCTGAACCCCAATTCCTTAAGCTCATTGAACAAAATCAAATTGGCTAGCAAAGCTGGTGCGGCAGCAAAGTTCACCAAATTATTGAAGGAAGTCTCATTGAAGATCTCCGCCTGAACCAAGAAAAAGAGAGAGACTTTTTCGTAAGTGTGGGAAAGAGAAAAACACTAAGAGTGATCTGTTTTTCTGAGTTGGGTTAGATAAGAGTGATATATTGAGTTCTTCTAGACGCATTATTTGAGATGGCTGAATCCAGTAAATACGTCCAACCTGCCATTCCAAAGTTTGATGGCCATTATGATCATTGGGCAAAGCTAATGGAGAATTTCCTACGCTCCAAGGAGTATTGGAGTTTGGTTGAAAAGGGTGTTGATGCAATTTCAGACAAAGCTAGTGAAGCAGAATTTAAACGACTGGAAGAGCAACAACTTAAGGATTTGAAGGTGAAAAATTATCTCTATCAATCTATTGACAGAGAGATTTTAGATACAATTCTAAATGATGAGACCTCCAAAAATATATGGGATTCCATGAAGCAAAAGTTTCAGGGATCCACACGAGTGAAACGTGCTCAATTGCAAACTTTCCGCAAAGACTTTGAGACACTACAAATGAAGGAAGGAGAATCGGTGACTTCATACTTTGGTCGCACCTTAATAATAGCCAAAGGAATGAAAGCGAGTGGGAGAACAGATGCAGAAAGCGTCATAACTGCAAAAATACTACGGTCTATGACGGCTAAATTCAATTATGTAGTGTGTTCAATTGAAGAATCCAACAACATGGAGACCATGACTATAGATGAGTTGCAAAGCAGTCTGTTGGTGCATGAGCAGAGAATGACACACTCAATTGAAGAAGAACAGGTTATGCAAACAATAGTAGATGGAAGAGGACGCGGGAGAGGGAGAACGCAGGGAGCTTTTCGTGGCAGAGGAAGGGGAAGACAAACGATTTCCAAGAATGAGATCGAATGCTTCAAGTGCCATAAACTTGGACACTTTCAATGGGAATGTCCTATGTGGGAAAAGAGAGTCAATTATGCAGAAATTGAAAATAAAGAGGAACCAGAGGAGGAGACTTTACTGATGGCTCTCACGAAACTAATGAAGGGGAGAAAAAGGAGTGGTTCTTAGATTCTGGATGTAGCAACCACATGAGTGGTAACAAAGGATGGTTTACCGAATTAGATGAGAATTTTCGAGGCAAAGTGAAGCTGGGAAACGACACACACATAGCTGTAATGGGGAAAGGAAGCATTCGAATGAAGGTGAATGGCTTAATACATGTTATCACACATGTATACTATGTCCCTGAACTCAAAAATAACTTATTGAGCATTGGACAGCTGCAACAAAAGGGACTGAGTATCAGAATTCAGAATAATGCTTGCACTATTATGCATTCGCAGAAAGGAGTAATATGTGAGGTTCAAATGAATGCTAGCAGGATGTTTGTGCTAACAGCAACCATGGAAGCAGATGCGTGTCTCCAGGTGAATGCAGAAAACAATGCTCAACTGTGGCACAACAGGCTCGGACATCTAAGCTATGATGGTCTAAACACCCTCGCCTCTAAACAAATGGTAACAGGTTTGCCTCAGATTACAGCTTCAAAAGGTATATGCGCACAATGCATGGCAGGAAAACAACACAGAAACACCATGTCCAAGACAAGTGCTTGGAGAGCAACCAAGAAACTGCAGCTGATACATGCGGACTTATGCGGACCAATTTCACCAACTTCGAGCAGCAACAAGAGGTATTTTCTAAGTTTTATTGATGATCTTTCAAGAAAAACTTGGATATACTT